CCGCGGACGTCCGCTCAATGGACATCCTCGACGAGGTGATCCAACAACTTCGGTGACGAGATGTTAGCGGAGTTGATCGCCCGCTACTCGGACACAGCTGCGCTGCCGGAAACAGTCGCGGAGTCGATGGCCGGAGAGGATTTTGTCCCCGCGACGAGTGACTGGTGTGCCCTCGTTCGCGTCCATAAATCGTTTCGCTTGTTTGTATGACGAATCAATTCCTTTGCCCTACAACGAGCCTGAAACGAAAGACATACCCTCCCCCGCCCCGTTTCGACTCCGTCTCCGACTTCGCCCGCGACTCCGGTCATCGTCCTTCGCCGCCTCACTGCCTGGGAAAAGAAACTGCCCAAGCAGTACACTGTCGCTGCTTCCCCTGGAGTGAACTCCCTCCACCTCCCGTTGGAGCTAGAGTCCACTACCAGCGCTTAAGCTCTTGCTCTCTGGCCTGGTTGACTGTGGTGCCACCTCCGACTTTATCGACACGAACTATGTCGCTCGGAATGGCATTCCGGTCCGCACCCTGGCGCAACCGATTCCGGTCTTTAACGTTGATGGCACTCCGAACGACGCCGGCTCCATCAACCAGATCGCGGACTTGGTCTTACGCTACAAAGGCCATTCCGAGCGTGTTCAACTCGCCGTCACTCATCTTGGTAAACAAGACCTTATTCTGGGGTACTCCTGGCTGCGGAAGCATAACCCGGAAATCAATTGGGAAACCAAGGAGGTCAAGATGACACGGTGCCCCCGCGGTTGCTCCACTTGCCGCGAGGAAGAACGCGTTGAACGGACTGAGCTACGGCGACTCCGGCTGCTCCAGAAGCGACTCCGCTCCGGCCCGTTCCCCTCGGTCTGCACCATGGACCTCTCTGGGCCTGACGACGGAGACGATTCCGTCTCCGGTGACGACTCCGCCCTGCCTGATCTGATGCCGGACTCCGACGATGATGAAGACGATGGTCAGCTTGAAGATGGTGACCGCATCTTCTACACCTCGTTCCGCCCCTCGGAGGAGATACGCGCTGGCAGTACTGTCTCACAGCGCCTGGCCGAAGCCTTCGCCAGGAACTCCGCCCCTGCGCCCTCCGAGATCCCGGACTGGGCTAAGGAGTTTCAGGACGTCTTCAACAAGGAGTCCTTCGACACGCTACCGGAGCGGAGAGCCTGGGACCACGCCATTGAACTCGTCCCCGACGCTAAGCCCACCAACTGCAAGGTGTACCCCATCTCGCCCCTCGAGCAACGCGAGCTCGACGCGTTCATCGAGGAAGGGCTTTCGACGGGCCGGATTCGCCCCTCCAAGTCTCCGATGGCGTCTCCGGTCTTCTTCGTCAAGAAGAAGGACGGCGGACTCCGCTTCGTCCAGGACTACCGTGCTCTCAATGCGATGACTGTCAAAAACCGGTACCCCCTTCCGCTGATCAACGACCTCATCAACCGGCTCAAAGGCGCTCGTTACTTCACCAAACTCGACGTCCGTTGGGGCTTCAACAACGTCCGGATCAAGGAAGGTGACGAGTGGAAAGCGGCTTTCCGGACTAACCGAGGCCTGTTCGAGCCCTTGGTGATGTATTTCGGCCTGACAAACTCTCCCGCGACGTTCCAAACGATGATGAATGACATTTTCCAGGACCTCATCCTCTCCGGAGACGTCATGATCTACCTTGACGACATCCTGATCGCCCATTCCGACCTCCGGAAACACCGGCAGATCGTTCAGGAGGTCTTGCGGCGACTCCCGAGCACAAGTTGTACCTCCGAGCGGAGAAGTGCGACTTTGAAAAATCGTCAATCGAGTACCTCGGAGTCATCATCTCCCACAACCACGTCGAAATGGACCCCGTCAAAGTCGCAGGCGTCTCCGCTTGGCCGACTCCGGAAAACAAGAAGGACATTCAGCAGTTCCTTGGGTTCGCTAATTTCTACTGCAGGTTCATTCGGGACTTCTCGACCCTTGCGCGCCCTCTCTTCGTGCTCACCAAGAAGGACCAGCAGTGGACTTGGGGCGACGCGGAGGCCTCCGCGTTCCAAGCGATCAAGGACGCAGTCACCTCGGAACCGGTCCTGGCGATTCCGGACGACGCACGGCCTTTCTGACTTGAGGCGGACAGCTCTGATTATGCGACGGGGCGGTTCTTTCACAATCCGCCCCGGACGGGAAGTGGCACCCTGTAGCATTCTATTCCAAAAGCTTAAATGATGTCCAGCGCAACTACGAAATCCACGACAAGGAGATGCTGGCGATCATCCGCGCACTCGAGGAGTATAGACACTTCCTCGAGGGCGCCGCGCATCCCGTCGAGATTTGGACTGACCATAAGAATCTGGAGTACTTCAGGAAGACGCAGCACCTCAACCGGAGACAGGCCCGCTGGTCCCTCTACCTCTCCCGGTTCGACTTCACGCTGCACCACAAGCCCGGCCGCGACATGGGCCGACCTGATGCCCTCTCTCGGAGACCAGACCACGGAATCGATTCCGACAACTCCGACGTCGTCCTTCTGCGGCCCGAACTCTTCCATGTCCGCTCTCGAAGGCGTTTCCGTTTCCGGCCCTGGTTCTGAACTCCTTCGCGACATCCGCGATGCCCTCTCCGGTGAGCCTGACCTGGAGGAGCCCGTCGCACTAGCGGCCCGGCAACTCCTAAAGGTCCAAGGTCAAGCTCGAGGCCCCCGCTCCTCGCGCTCCGACGAGTGGGCTGTCTCCGGTGGTCTTCTTCACTTTCGTGGGAAGATTGTCGTACCTAAGGATAAGGACCTCCGGAGACGCATCATCGAGCTCTGCCACGACACTCGAGTTGCCGGACACGCGGGTCGCTTCAAGACCTTGGAGTTGGTCTCCCGGAACTACTGGTGGCCTCAGATGTCTCGCCATATTGGCCGGTACGTCGCGACCTGTGACTTGTGCTGTCGCACCAAAGCACTCCGGAGACTGCCCCACGGAGAGCTGCACCCGACGGAAACGCCCCCAGAGCGTTGGCATACCGTCTCCGTCGACTTCATTGTTGAGCTTCCGGAGGCCCATGGGTACGACGCGATCATGGTCGTCGTCGACACCCTTGGGAAGCGTGCCCACTTCTCGGAGTGTCACACCACGGTCGACGCAGTAGGGGCGGCTCGCCTCTACTACCGGAATGTCTGGCGCCATCACGGGACTCCGGAGAAGTACGTCTCCGACCGCGGCTCGCAGTTCATCGCGGACTTCACCCGAGAACTCTGGCGTCTAATCGGCATCACGCCTGCCACGTCCACCGCGTACCACCCGCAGACAGACGGTCAAACAGAGCGCGTCAACCAGGAGCTGGAGCAGTACCTGCGGATCTTTACCAACTATCAGCAGGACGACTGGGATGAGCTGATTCCGGCCGCGGAGTTCGCCTACAACAACCACGTTCACTCCTCCACGCAACAAGTCCCCTTCATGACGGACACGGGACGACTCCCGCGCATGGGCTTCGAACCCGGAGTCCGTTCCGCTATGGAGTCCGTGAACGAGTTCCGCGACCGGATTGCCACTGGGTGTTGCCGAGCCAAGGCCGCGCTCACTAAGGCCAAAGAGGAGTACAAGCGCTACTACGACCGGAGACGCACTCCGTCTCCGGAGTTTAAGGTTGGCAACCGTGTTTGGCTGGATGCCTCTGACATCAGGACGACTCGCCCCTCGGAGAAGTTCTCCCACCGCCGCCTCGGACCATTCAAGATAGTCAAGGAGATCAGCAAAGGTGCCTACAAGCTCGACCTCCCTCCGCGCTACTCGAAGCTCCACCCGGTCTTCCCCGTCGTCAAACTCGAGCTCGCCCAAGACGACCCCTTCGACGGACGCCCGGCTACGACCAGCCCCCTCCGGACCTCGAGGACGGAGTCCCGGAGTGGGAAGTAGAGGAAATCCTGGACGCAAGGGTGAGGTATAAACGGCTGAATTACCGTCAGATGGAAAGGCTACGACGCGTCGCATGACCAGTGGGTCCGCTTCGACCGCGTCTTCGCCCGGAGAAAATCGCGGAGTTCTATCGTAAGTACCCTGGCAAACCACGGCACATCGCCTCTGCAACCTTCGACTCGATTCCATTCCGGTCTATGCGTCGGGACGCCGCATTCAAAGGGGGTGATGTCAGGGGAACCTCCCTTTCGGCCCCTCGGAGACGATTCCGATTCCGGTCCGACTCCGGCTCCGACTCCGGTGATCGCATCACCGCCTCCGTCAGGCGCATCGCCGCCCCCGCCTGGCGATCCCCCTGGGACCTGGCCTGCGACATGGCGCAGGCATACTGCACGGAGCAACGATCAACCTTGGCGCGTCAAGAGCGCAGTATATAGTTCCGCTACCTAGCAGGCGGACCCTTAGAGTTTCTTCTCTTTGGATCCTCCCCTGCTAGGTCAGCCTCACTTGTATTTGCTTACTTCTATTCACTCTTTGGATCCTCCCCTGCTAGGACCTTGATCTCAGGCCTCCGGGGTTGCCCTTACAGCTACTACTGGCTTGCCACTGTTTACTGGGAGATTAGGCTAATGAAATTTGGCTGGAGTCACATAGGTCACCATGCTTTAATGCTTTATTTTATTATTATTAGGTTTATTTATTGTTTTTTTGTGACAGGGTTGATGCTAACTGAATATTGTCATCAATGTGGAACCATTTTTGATTGCCATCAATAGTTTTGATCACCCAGTCTAGTTACATCATTTCAGTCCCAATTTGGAAGTAATGCTTTTTTAGCTATTACACAGTCACCTTAATTATATACCGGGTCATCGGCCTGAAGAAAAGGAGCTATCAGTAATTAATTATTATCTTATATTGGTCAGCATCATCAATACCAACATATTACCTTTTTTAGAGAGAGGACAATTAGCCTAATTTCCCTCTGACTGCTGGCCCAGTGGGAGCTGGGGATTTAGGCAACGGTATTTCCAGTAGACACAGGGACCAGAGCCTAATTCCTACAGCTATGGGTGCCATCCACCAACTTCAATAAAACCAACAGCGTCTGCATTCACATGCGTGATGCCAGATTCCGAGACGGCACTGCACAGAATCTTTACCAACCCAACGGCACCACATTTAAAGGGCTGGAAGTCCTCATTCAAGAACGACGTGCCAAGGGACATGATCTCCTGGATCCTGATTCCATCAATCCAGCAACCAACAAGAAGTATGTCGTGCAGTGTGGTGGAAGCGGTGCATTCAAATGCCGCACCACAACCAACACCAAGTGCTGTCTACGGAAGATGATGTACTCTGAGCCGGATTTCAAGAATCAGAAATCAATCTTGGAAGAACACTGCGAGAGACGCGGCTATTGTGTTCTTTTTTCCCCCAAATTCCACCTAGAGCTGAATTTTATTGAGCAGTGTTGGGGCTACGCCAAGCGGATCTACTGGATGTACCCCGAGTCCACCTCCGAAGATGCTCTTCGTGCCAACCTCCTGCAAGCTGTCGCATCGGTGCCGATCGAGTCAATGCGAAGATTTGCAACACGTTCATCGCGCTTTGGGGATGCCTATTTCTGTGGGCTCAATGGGGCGGAGGCTGCTTGGGCCAATAAGAAGTATCGCGGACATCGAACCTTGCCTCTGTCATACACCGAGGACTTGCGGGAGGCCAAGATGTCATGGCCAGCTTGGAAACTGGGTCCAGTGCAGGCTTGAGTTGCCAAAATGAATACTATTTGTAGCTGAAAAGACATGAAAATATTTCTATAGCCTCCTCTTGCCCAACAAGCGCTTCTTCACAAAAACGTCCCAAATTTCCGCGTGTGGCTGTGCAGATCAGTCACATCAATAATGCTTGATGTCATCAAACGTCGCCTACCTTAGCAGGGGAGGATCCAAAGAGAAGAAACTCTGAGGGTCCGCCTGCTAGGGCGCCAACTATATACTGGTCGTCCGTAACTGCCGACGTAGAGCACAGAAGGCCTGAGCGGTGTCGCAGGCTCTGTCCCAAGGTGATCCTTGGGAGGGTCTTGACAGATCGGTGATTGTGCGGGCAAAGTGGATGATGGTCGGGGTAGGTCAGAGCGTCCGAGGGGGCGCCGGTCGGATGTGCCTTGGATGCGCTCGGACGGTCCGAAGGAGGCTGAAGCAGGGGTTCCCCTGACAGAGAGGTAAAGAGTGTGTAACGGGTTTACACCCTCCCCACCTCTAAAACATTCCATAAAGTCCAAAAGAAACAATGAAGAACCAATAAATGTCCATCAGCACAAGTGACAACATTGTCCAAACTCAATGACATGCATCCTTGAACACTTGCCCACAAGCAGGATCGCCATTGCGCCGGGGATGAGAGGGAACGAGGGGCCCGAAAGAAGAAGGGAATTAAAGTTGGCGTAAGGTAAACAAATGATAGGTGACGGCAGGGACAGTAGACAGAGACGGCAGGGGCAGCAGACAGGTGCCGGGTGGTCAACGGTAAGCCAGATCAGAGTCATCTGTTCCGACATCACTCGGGCTATCGTAGTCGTCCCACAACCCATTATCATCATCGGACTCCAGATGCGGAAGGACTGCAAACACACTGTGGCGAGCAGGGATGCCATTGGCGGGGTCTCCCGGGCAGTTATGCGACTGGTGATTGACCCAGCCTGGACTGGAAGGTGAGTGACGACGGTGGTAGCAACCGCCCGCAGCCTTCAGTGCATCTTTCTCCGCTGGGGAGGGTGTCAATCTCGGCAAGACAGCATTCGGAACAGAGGTGGAGGAAGTGGGCGGAGCAGTGGTGGAGACCGAGGAAGTGTTTGCTGTCACCGGCATAGGGAGCGAGGAAGCGGCAGAAGAATCAACCACCTTGACCACATTCTCTTTCACCATAATTTCCCAGATCACTGTCATTTTCGCCACTAGCTGCTCGACTGTCATAGAGACTCTCATAGAGGTGAACTGGAAACTCGGAGAGCCACATGTGCAGAGACGAAGGATTGGGTGAGCACGGAAAAGCAGATGGTTCTTCAGCATCCCACTATCGACTCCGTACGCAGGTCCGGCAGTCGTGAGTGCATCGGAAGCGGTTTCGAGGCGGGCGACAAAGTCGGCAAACAAGGAGCGGCCTTGGTGGATGTCGAAGAAATTGCCCAGCGCAAAAATGCGCCAATTGCTTTGGACAAAGTGGTCCTTAAGCTTCGTTTTGAAGCCATCCCAAGTTGCAGCCTTCAGCGCCTCGCAATTCTTGCCCCACCAAACCTTTGCTGTCTGCTCCTCCATACGCATACCAGCCATGCGGACCCTCATGCGGTCACGTAACTGCTCGCCATTATTCATATCCTCATGATGCTCAAATATGTCCTCGCAAGCGCCGAGCCAAAGCTTGATAGACTGAGCATCCAGCTTGTCCACCAGCTTGGGACACTCGAGTTTCGTCATCGTGCCAGCTCATATAGCTGTATCTATGCAAAAGATGTGGGCCAGTGCCCAGGGGTAATGCAAAAGATGAGGGCAATGGCCCAACAAGTATTTTCTTTAACGATATTTTTTAATTCTAAGCCCTGTAGAGTGGTATCAGTGATGGGATTGATAGCATCTAGCTAAGTTGACTAATGTGGAACGATTTCTGATGGCCATCAGTAAGTTTGATCACTGTGTACAGCTAGATCAATGTTATGTAAGTGATTATTGATTTCCTTGTTTTTGTGTCATTAGGACCATAATATTACATACCGCATATTCGCCCTGAAGAAAAGGTGATTCCTATTACTGATTATGTAATTAGCTTAGTCATATACTTCAAATCCAATGAGAAATTCAACAATTTTACCAGGTTCAACATCTTTTGCATTACACTCAACATCTTTTGCATTGGCCCCTTGGGTACTTGCCCACATCTGGCCCACATCTTTTGCATAGATACAGCTATATGAGCTGGGTGGCGAGACGACATAGAGCGGTTGGACGCGCCAGCGAGAGGGTCGGCAGGGTGGTGGGAGCGAAAAGAAGCCTGTTGCGACAGCGTGGCATCACCGTCCACATGCCCGGGCTCCGCGAAGCTTCGCCGGTTCGGCTGACGGCATCCGGCGATGGCGAGAAGACTCCAAGGGAGGGAGAAGTCGGGCCGAGCTGTTGAGCATAGGCCGAGGTCGTAGATGTCGTTGTTCCGATGCCATGAAGGTAAAGCAGAGTAAATAGCATAGTTGTGATTGGAAAAAAAAAAGTGGAAACCCAATGGCCAATTGGGAAACACTGAGGGGACCAGCAGCCAAGTCAATGAGACTATGCTATATTCTGGAGATGCTGAGGGTACAGGAGGAAGAAGTAACTACTGTGACATAGAGAGGTAAAGAGTGTGTAACGGGTTTACACTTTGGTCCTTGTGGATTATTCTTTGGGGTGTTGTTCGACGTGTTCGAGTCTTCTTGGGACTGGAATTACCCCGGCAGACATGCCCAGGATCCCTCGGATGTTTGTGCCCCCTTGAGCAAGCGCCCGAGGTTCTGTCCGAGCTTGGTGAATGGGCCCTGTCTCTCTCCTTCCGTTCTCCGCTTTTGCCTTTCTGTCCCCCTACTCCGCCGCCTGAGGTTGCGATGATGGATGTGGACACCTCAGATAATGTTTCCATGGGCCCCTCGCGGTCTTCCTTGCCAAGTTTGGAGTTGTTAACTAGGCTGTCCATCACTCTTTAGGCTGTGTCTGTGATCGACATCTTGGCCGACAAGGTCGATGAAGACTTGTTGCTCATCCTGCTGAGTCTCCACGCCAGGATAGCCCCCTGGCTCCTCCCTTGTTGGTGGTTTGTGCCAACGACAACGATGAAGAAGGGTATATCCTGTCGGCTCCAACCCTCTGAAGAACAGGGACTCGCCCGGGTGAGCCGCTGCGGCGGCATTGGGGAAGTGGTGAGGACCATAATGCCCTGTTGTTGGCTTTTGCGTTCAATCGGGACACCTTTGTAATCGTGTGGGGCCAGCCAGGGGATCTGGCCACGAAACTCCCAGCGAACACTCGTTGCGCGTACAATTTGTGCTGCCTTCAGCACTGCCATCGGACCTTTCTTGGTGGCATACAAAGCTCAGGACTTGCATGATCCTTGGTGGCACTTCGCGTTCTGGGAGTGTCTTGGTATCAAGGATTTCTATGTGCTTCTTGTCAGACTGCAGGTCGGGCTGTGCAAGGTCCTCTCCTAAGAACGTGCGCCCGGAACAGAACAGATGGATAGTCGGGCCCGCAAGTACGGCGAGCAGGGTAGATCGAAACCAAAAGGGCCCGTGAACTCGGTCCCTTGTCGTTTGCAGTGGTCGAAGGTTCGAATCAGGTATGAGTCGACGACACCTCCTTGCACGGAGTAAGGTAGTTCTTCAGACGATCTAAGCAATAGGGTACATAGTACACTATCGCACCTTATATACGCGGGCCCGCAAAGGGGTGATTGGACACCCTGGCCTCTCTTGCTCCTCCTCGCCCCCGTTCCTAGCCGCAGAGGGGATGATCGTACATCCCTTGCGGGCCAGGCGCTACTCCTAACCTCCTAGCACTCCTCCCCGGTCCCCTGGTGTCAAGTTATATTATGTCATATAAATCACCTTTTCTTTAGGCCGATGACTTAGTATGTAATATTGAGGACTTGATAGGACAGGAATAAGGAAATAAATAATAGCTTAAGTAAGATTGATCTAGCAGAATTCAGTCATCAAAAGCAGTGATGGCAATCAAAAATCGTTCCACATTGATCAAAATACCTTAGGGCCATCAATCCCATCAATGATATCATTCCCTACGGGCTAAAGAAACAGTAATACTCCTTTGAATAATATATTCTAGGCCCTTCCCATCATCTTTTGCATTAGCCTGATAGGCAGTGGCCATCATCTTTTGCATAGATGGAGCTATATAAGCTGTGAACCGGTTAGGTTCCGGCTGGAGGATTACCCCGATGTTTCCCTTTGGTTTGGCAAGCCTTCGCCTAAGCATGCAGTGGCTGAGGCCCATCGCCTGTTGGATGATCTGGATGTTGTGCAGTCAGCCCAATTTTTGGCCGTGGGCGTGACGTTGCTCCAGCAGATGTTGACCCGCCCCCAAGATACCCCGTTCTGGTATGCTGCAGACTCTGCAGGCTGCGACACAGATGCAGATGCGCCCCGCTAATTTTGAATTAATGGATCATCTGGGTTTCTGCTGGTCTGCCATGCAGATGGTTCAGCTTTACACGCCGGTGATGGGTGTGTTTGGGGCTGTAGATAACTTGGGTTTCGCGCACATGGAGTTATGGGAGCAACAGGCAGCAACGGATCATTGACAGGTGCATGGATCAGACTCCACATCAAGGAACACGCTGTCAGGGTCGGGGTCGCAATGTCCTCCGCATTCGGGTCCCTCGGCAAGTCAAAAAAGCAAGGTCAGGCATCGTCGGGGTATGTTTTTTGTGTTTTTATATTTTGTATCACGATTGGACTTTTATTGCAAATCCAACTGTTTGCTTTCTATTGGTGTTGTGTGTTCCATGAGCAGGTGTAAGAGGATTGCTTAGATTCTGTCAGGCTTCGGGTCGGGCCGTGCAAGGCTCCACTCATAAAACGTGCACCCGGAACAGACTTCTCTTACGAACATGCGCCCAGAACAGAACAGACAAATATGCAGGCCTGAGTTGGCACAGGCTGAACCAAAGTGAACCGAAAGGGTCCATAAGGCAGTCCCTCACCTGCGGTCGGTGATGCAGGTCAAATCGA